TAGGCTTAAAACGACCATATATTTTTTATAGAACAGAGCAAAGCCAAAAGTAGCGTTCGACCCGCATCCCTAGAACAGCAGATGCACTCTCAACATGAATGAATATCCAGCAGGTTTAACACAATAAAAATTACTTGAAAAACGCTTTTCCTATCCACGATTGACTCTCCATGATATATTTCCGGACATTGAAAACCTTGTGCGATTGAAAGGAAAGCTGGAGCCATGCTCAAATGAACCTTTACGCTAGGAAGAGTGCTTGATTTAGAATATGAAGGCTCCTCAACAGCCGGGCGTTTAACAATTGTCGGATCCACTGTCTTGCGAGAGTTACGCAAGTGAGGCTCATCTAGAAAATCTCTAATATTTTCTACTAAAGAATATACAACAGGAGATCCGATTGAACTGGTGGCGGTCTCTTCCAGTTTCGTGTAAAGTGCGTCGATTTCTTTGTGGCGTAGCCATGGTGCGTGCACACTTATTTAGAAAAGAATATAATTTACTTAAAAATCGGAGGCGACTCTGAAGGATAAGAGGGAATGCATTCAATGTTAAGAACTAATTGTTCAGATATAGGAGGGGACTCCGACTTGATCGCTATTGTGTATATCCTATACATTATATCTAAGCATTACAACTCACCCATTAGGCTCATCTGTACATACTAGTTCGTTATCATATATGGCCTTGAGGGCAGAAAGCTCCTCAAGGGCATCTGACGATGCTGACATAGATGGGACCACAATAAGGTAGTTCAAAGAGGACGTATAATCATACTAATATGTACAATAAGTGACACTTTAACATTATAATAAATTAAGACAATAATATTGTGTAATATTTAGACCGGGATTCTTAGTTTGCTTTGTTAATACCAAGCGCGACAATACGAACCGTTGATCGTGTGCTCGTTTTGTACATTCTACTCCCATGGATCCTCCTAAGAAGTATTTCTGAAATTTATTAACTTCTAGGTTTGCTTTTAAATCCTTTAAAGGCATGTCACAGGCTAAGCCTGGAATCTTTTCTGCCGAGAGTATCCGTGGTGATCCTAGCTCACCAAAGTCACTTCTTCATTTACATAAACCCCTCTTTACAATATCCTCCCCTGCTACTTGTTCCTCTCCTTTAATTTCTGCAAATAGTGCAAGAATCGTTCCAACTGCTCTTGTGAATCCGATGAGGTTTGCATTAATATTGGTATATTTTCAGGGCTTCTCCCTCTGATCCATGCTTGCCTAATAAACCCGTTTCCCATATGGCTTTCGAGAATTGCACCTCCACAGATTCGTGTAAAATCAACCAAAATATAAAATGTTTTCGTGATGAGGTAGGCTTAATCAATTTTATCTCAAATCTTAGGCCATTTCCCGTGTGTCTGCCCCAGGTTTTTTACTTATTTTTATACCAACATATGCTTATAAGATTGCGAACTCGAATGGTCTGATGAGGAGTCATTTCATGAAGAGCTAACAAATGATAAAAATAATTCAACAGATCTGAATAATTTTCTAAATAATAATGTTATCTCAAAAGAAAACACCACTCATGAAAATGTGTCTTTGTCCTCGAGCCA